ATGAACGTATCAACACTATAATAAACTTCGATCCCTCAAATGCAAATATACGACCCATGAACCTATCAACACTATAATAAACTTCGATCCCTCAAATACAAGTATACGACCCATGAACGTATCAACACTATAATAAACTTCGATCCCTCAAAAACTATTATACCACCCATGAACGAATGAAAACTATAATAAACCTCGATCCCTCAAATGCAAGTATACGACCCAGGAACGTATCAACACTATAATAAACTTCGATCTCTCAAATACAAGTATACGACCCATGAACGTATCAACACTATAATAAACTTCGATCCCTCAAATACTAGTATACGACCCAGGAACGTATCAACACTATAATAAACTTCGATCCCTCAAATACAAGTATACGACCCATGAACGTTTCCCCATTATAATAAACTTCGATCCCTTAAATACAAGTATACGAAACATCAACGTATCAGCACTATAATAAACATCGTTCCCTCATATACAAATATACCCCACATGAACATATCCAAACCATAATAAGCTTCGATTCCTCAAATGCAAGTATACGACACATGAACGTAACAAAACTATAATAAACATCGTTCCCTAAGATACAAATATACGACACATGAACGTATCCAAACTATAATAAACTTCGATCCCTCAAATACAAGCATACGGCCCATGAACGTATCAACACTTTAATAAACTTCGATCCCTCAAATACAAGTATACGGCCCATGAACGTATCAACACTATAATAAACTTCGATCCCTCAAATACATGTATACGACCCATGAACGTATGAAAACTATAATAAACTTCAATCCCTCAAATACAAGTATACGACCCATGAACGTATCAACACTATAATAAACATCGATCCCTCAGATACTAATATGCGACACATGAACGTATCCAAACTATAATAAACGTCGATATCCCAAATACAGGTATACGACCCAGGAACGTATCAACACTACAATAAACTTCGATCCATCAAATACAAGCATACGGTCTATGAACGTATGAAAACTATAATAAACCTCGATCCCTCAAATTCAAGTATACGACGCATGAAAGTATCAACACTATAAGAAATATCGATCCCTCAACTACAGGTATACGACCCATGAAAGTTTCAACCCTATAATAAACTTCGATCCCTCAAATACAAGTATACGACCCATGAAAGGATCAACACTATAATAAACTTCGATCCCTCAAAAACAAGTATACGACCCATGAACGTTTGAACATTATGATAAACTTCGATCCCTCAGATACAAGCATACGACACATGAACGTATCAACACTATAATAAACCTCGATCCCTCAAATACAAGCATACGACCCAAGAACGTGTGAAGATAATACTAAATTTCGATCCCTCAAATACAAGTATACGGCCCATGAACGTATGAACATTATAATAAACTTTGATCCCTCAAATGCAAGTATACGACCCATGAATTTATGAACATTATAGTAACTTTCTACCCCTGATACAAATATACGATCCATGAACGTATCAACACTATAATAAACTTCGATCCCTCAAATACAAGCATACGACCCATGAACGTATCAACACTATAATAAACTTCGATCCCTCAAATACAATTATATGACACATGAACGTATGAAAACTATAATAAACTTCGATCCCTCAAATACAAGTATATGACCCATGAACGTATGAAAACTATAATAAATTTCGATCCCGCCCATAAAAGTATACGACCCATGAACGTATGAAAGCTGTAATCAACTTCGATCCCTCAAATACACGTATACGACCCATGAAAGTATCAACACTTTAATAAACTTCGATCCCTCAAATACAAGTATACGACCAATGAACGTATCTACACTGTAATAAACTTCGATCCCTAAAATACAAGTATAAGAGCAATGAACGTATCAACACTATGTTAAACTTAGATCCCTAAAATACAAGAATACCACCCATGAACGTATGAAAACTATAATTAACTTCGATCCCTTAAATACAAGTATACGACCCATGAACGTATGAAAACTATAATAAACTTCGATCCCTCAAATACAAGTATACGACCCATGAACGTATCAACACTATAATAAACTTCGATCCCTCAGATACAAATATGCGACCCAGGAACGTATCCAAACTATAATAAACGTCGATATCCCAAATACAGGTATACGACCCAGGAACGTATCAACACTACAATAAACTTCGATCTCTCAAATACAAGTATACGGTCTATGAACGTATGTAAACTATAATAAACTTCGATCCCTCAAATACAAGTATAGGACGCATGAACGTATCAACACTATAAGAAATATCGATCCCTCAAATACAAGTATACGACCCATGAACGTATCAACCCTATAACAAACTTCGATCCCTCAAATACAAGTATACGACCCATGAACGTATCAACATTATAATAAACTTCGATCCTCCCTATACACGTATACGACCCATGAACGTATCTACACTATTTTAAACTGTGATCCCTTAAATACAAGTACACGACCCATGAACGTATCCACACTATAATAAACTTCGATCCTCATATATAAGAATACGACCCATTAATGTATCACCACTATAATAAACTTCGATCCCTTAAATAGAAGTATACGACACATGAACGTATCTACACTATAATAAACTTCGATCTTCCATATACAAGAATACGACCCATGAAAGTATCAACACTATAATACACTTCGATACCTTAAATACAAGTATACGACACATGAACGTATGAACACAATAATAAACTTCGATCCCTTAAATACAAGTATACGACCCAAGAACGAATCAACACTATAATATACTTTGATCCTCCATATGCAAGAATACGACAAATGAACGTATCCACTCAATAAGAAATTTCGATCCTCCATATACAAGAATACGACCCCTGAACGTATCAACACAATAATAAACTTCGATCCCTAAAATACAAGTATAAGATCAATGAACGTATCAACACTATGTTAAACTTCGATCCCTCAATTACAAGAATACGACCAATGAACCTATGAAAACTATAATACTCTTCGATCCCTGAAATAGAAGTATACGACCAATGAACGTATCTACACTATAATTAACTTCGATCCCTCAAATACAAGAATACGACACCTGAACGTATGAAAACTATAATAAACTTCGATCCCTCAAATACAAGAATACGACCCATGAACGTATCAACACTATAATAAACGTCGATCCCTCAAATACAAGTATACGACCAATGAACGTATCTACACTATAATTAACTTCGATCCCTCAAATACAAGAATACGACACCTGAACGTATGAAAACTATAATAAACTTCGATCCCTCAAATACAAGTATACGACCCATGAACGTATCAACACTATAATAAACTTCGATCCCTCAAATACTAGTATACGACCTAGGAACAAATCAACACTATAATAAACTTCGATCCCTCAAATACTAGTATACGACCCATGAACGAATCAACACTTTAATAAACATCGATCCCTCAAATACAGGTATAAGACCAATGAACGCATTAACACTATACTAAACTTCGATCCCTCAAATACAAGTATACGACCCATGAACGTATCCCCATTATAATAAACTTCGATCCCTTAAATACAAGTATACGACACATGAACGTATCCACACTATAATAAACATCGTTCCCTCAGATACAAATATACGCCACATGAACATATCCAAACTATAATAAACTTGATTCCTCAAATACAAGTATACGACCCATGAACGTATCAACACTATGATAAACTTCGATTCCTCAAATACAGGTATTATACGACCTATGAACGTATCAACACTACAATAACCTTCGATCCCTGAAATAGAAGTATACGACCCATGAACGTATCAACATTAAAATTAACTTCGATCACTCAAATACAAGTATACGACCCATGAACGTATCCACACTATAATAAACTTCGACCCCTCAGATACAAGTATTCCACCCATGAACGTATCAACACTATAATAAACTTCGATTCCTCAAATACAGGTATTATACGACCTATGAACGTATCAACACTACAATTACCTTCGATCCCTCAAATACGACCCAAGAACGTATCAACATTATAATTAACTTCGATCACTGAACTACAAGTATACGACCCATGAACGTATGGAAACTTTATTAACTTTCGATCCCTCAAATACAAGTATACGACCCATGAATGTGTGAAAACTATAATAAACTTCGATCCCTCAAATACAAGTGTACGACCCATGAGGTGAGGTGAGGTGAAATTGGGTTTTTTACGTCGTGCTCGAGAATATTTCGCTCATATGACGACGTGCATGCTTGTGTATGTGTATGTGCGGCTGCTTGTACTAGCCCAGACTGAAGCTGGTTTTATAGTGCTAGCCCACTGAGATACCATGCCGCAGTAAAGCATGAATACCCCACTCAGACACATTATACTGACTCCAAGCCGACCAGTCCTTGTTGTACCCATTAATGCCGAGCGCCAGGCAGGGACCAACAAGTACCATATTTTAACGTCTTTTGGTATGACGCGATCGGGGATCGAACCCACGACCTTCCGCTCTCCGGGCGGACGCTCTAACCATTACACCACGGAGGCGGTCGTACGACCCATGAACGTATCAACACTATAATAAACTTAGATCCTCCATATACAAGAATACGACCCATGAACGTATCTACACTATATTAAACTTCGATTCCTCAGATACAAATATACGACCCATGAACGTATCAATACTATATTAGACTTCGATCCCTCAAATACAAATACTAGTATACGACCCATGAACGTATCAACCCTATAATAAACTTCGATCCTCCATATACAAGTATACGACCCATGAACGTATCAACCCTATAATAAACTTCGATCCCTCAGATACAAGTAAGTATACCACCCATGAACGTATCTACACCATATTAAACTTCGATCCCTCAGATATTGAGAACCATTAAAGAGGAAAGAAATGAAAGAGAAATGGACTCACAATAGTTCCTCCTGCACACTGCCAATTAGTTTCGACCTCAGACAAGTTCTCTACATAGACCAGCGTATAACAGAACTCTGGCTGTCTGTGATAATGTCGTATTGTGCTCAACTACATCACTTAGGTCAAGTACTTCCTGACAGACTTCGTTCGGTCGGTTTTTAAGTCACGCGAACTTGGTTCCTTAGTAAGACAACAAAAGGATCAGTGCTCGAAACATTTGTGAAATTAAATGCGTGAAAATATGCCGTCAAATATCTCAACTATTGTGTAAACATATGCATGATTCGACGTGATGATGTTGTATGCTGCCCCTAACCCATAGCTCCCCCCATGTCTCTCTCACACACGGTGTTGTTGTTCCTTGTTCTCCCAAACTCCCAAACCCTCAAACTAATTTAACTTTACATCCGGTTTTATATGACTAGACGGAAGTACTCTGCTTATTCTTCATTGTGGATTCTATACACACAGTTCAAACGACACTTGGAAACTGACTCTGCCTGTCATATCATTCAATGGATGGCATGGAGCAAAATCCCGTTTTACACACCGAGTAAATACTGAAGAGTGTAAAAAATGTAAATCGTTTTCTGATTGCGACATTGAGTACGATTAAGAAGTTAGGTTGAGAGTACATACGATGACACCCATCCTAGTGTGTACGTAAGTGCGTGGGTGCATGCGATCATGCGTTCAATGCGTGCATGTGTCCATGTGTAGTGTTTGATGTTTGAACTTTAAGTTTTGTCAGTTTGGAGAATCCAGGTCCAAATACAGCATCTGGAACTGGGTCTATGTACAGGTTGTGCACAGTGCTTCAGTCGTATGACCACACACTAACCGATATTACCAGCAACATACCCATAAACGGGATAGTGAGTGAGTTTAGTGTTTCGCCGCTTTTAGCAATATTCCAACAATATCACGATGGGGGACACCGGAAATAAGCCTCATACAACGTGCCAATGTGGGGAATCGAACCCTTGGCCTTCGACTAGACGAACGGACGCCTTAACCACTAGGTACCCGTGAAGGCCCAGGTTAGAATAAACCTTCAGTGACCCATGCTTGTCTTAAGAGGCGACTAACGGGATCGGGTGGTCAGGCTCGCTGGCTTGGTTGACACATGTCATCGGTTCCCAATTGCGCAGGTCGATGCTCATGCTGTTGATTACTGGGTTGTCTGGTCCAGACTCGATTATTTACAGACCTCCTTCATATAGCTGGAATATTGCATAGTGCGGCGAAAAAAAAAATTACTCACTCACTTAACCACTAGGCTACCCCACCGCCCCAATAAACGTGATAAATTGAGGAACGAACGGATTGCGTGGTCCAGGAAATATTGCTGAGTGCAGCATTAAACAGCAAACAAACAGAAAATATTTCCGTAGTAAATCACACGCGATACAGTGCAATGTGACACACCTGGAATTGTCTCTCGGCCATTTGGACTTGAGAACCTGATACCAGTCAGGTGTGTAGACCAGTGACTGAAGTCATGGACTGAGTCGAACGTGAAAACCCCTATAACGTTAACAAGTGTGCTGACGTGACATGTCTTAAACGGGACATAACCCTTGGATCCCCAGTGCACCGTGTGGTAATGGTTGTAAAAAAAGCTTGGTTGTCATTGTGAAGCACTACTCTTCACATTCCCTATCATATATAGGTTTGTGTGTTTGTATGTGTTTGTTTATATGGCAGCAGTGTGCAAATAATCGAGTCTGGACCAGACAATCCAGTGATTAACAGCATCGGTCTACGTAGTAGGAATACGATGACATGTCAACCGAGTCAGCGAACCTGACCTCCAGATTCTGTTAGTGACCTCTTACGATAAGCATGGGTTGCTGAAGACCAGTTCTAACCCTGATTTTTAAGGGTCTGAACAACTGCTTGAGAACAGGGGGAACGAAGGATCGACCAGATTATCTTAAAAGTGTAAGATTCATAATAAATGTCAGTCACGATCCAGCCCTGTTAAGGAAAGGGAAACAATTCACTTCCTTCTTGTTTACAGCGCATTCGTCGGCTTTGGTAACATTGATTACTTCTTCCGTAATAGATAGCTTTCCTCCAGGTGTCTAAACCACTGACTGACGAACATGACAGCTTTGTTCATTAACTCTATAGGGGATAACAAGAATGCAGATTGAGATTTGGACAAGGATGAAATAAGTACAAAAATAAATAAAAGAGAGCTGAAATTGAAACGATTTACATGCAATCTGAGAGGATTACACAAAAACGTGAACATCAACAATGCCAGTAAATGTGGGCCCCGTGACTAAGCCACTGATCTGATTGTCACACGGTTCCCTAATAACGTGTGTTGGTTCGAGAACAGTGAAGTCTAGCCTTGTCGTCCATGAATATCGAATGACTGGCAAGGGGATGGTTGTCAAACTGTGGCTCGATAGCACTAACCCAGTACGTCTAGTGCTTTACTGGCACAGTTAAATCTAGATGTTCAACTGAAAGTAGTCCCAAATGAGTAATTGTATAATCTATGGATAACACGTTATCACTATGGAAAAAATCAGAATGTTCTTGTCACCGTGAGGTTACAAAAATGCAGAATATTTCGTTTGAATTAACAAGCATTATAATTGTGTTGTGACGAGAAGTTGGAAGGAGTTTTTAGAAGGTAAATATTTCCTCAGAAAAGGTTGTGACTATGAGAGTTCCCGTAGTAGTGATAACAGAACTCACAATCCATTTTTCAATCTCAGCGACCACGTCTAAAGTATTCATCGACGTAAATCAGCTGAAGAACCAGTTGCAGACGTATCTGCAGACGACTCAATGCTCAGAAAGGGACATAGAGTATATTATACGATCGCTTCTAACATTTTCTGCCATAATATAGAGGAAACAGAAGATGTTGTATCACAGACTCTTTTGACAGGATAGTTATTGGTTATCAGGGAGATATATTACATTTCAGTATATTATCACCAGCTCATAATGCATGTCATATCAGATGCTTGATTGGCATTTAGAAGTTGGACGAAGGGGCAAGAAGTAGCTCATAATGCATGTTATATTAGATGCTTGATTGGCATTTAGAAGTTGGATGAAGGGGCAAGAAGTAGCTCCTAATGCATGTTATATTAGATGTTTGATTGGCATTTAGAAGTTGGATGAAGGGGCAAGAAGTAGCTCCTAATGCATGTTATATTAGATGCTTGATTGGCATTTAGAAGTTGGAATGTAACAAGACAACGTAGGGTATGGATTTACAACGTCTTTTAAAAAACCCAACTGTATTTAGCGTGTTCAGCATAATAATCATGATAGACTGAAGGTATAATAGAGTAGATAGCTCAGCAGAAGTTGTAAATCGCCTTATCATTTAAAGCCTAGGATGACAAGTCTTTATGGATGATCCACTTCTGTATTGTAGGATAGCGACGTTTCGGTATAGATAATTGCTTGAAAACGGTATAAGTATCTATACCAAAACGTCGCTATAATACAATAAAGAAATTGATCATCCACAAAGACTTTGAAAGTTTGAAATGTACCATTTTTTCTTTAGTATATCCGACACGTGTTTTCTCATAAACCCACAGTTGTTGAGATGGGAGTTGCACACAACAGGTGCCATGATGAGAGGTTTTGATGGGTTTCTTTTCCAACACAAAGCCATTCAGTGAACATGTAACACTGGAAATACTATGTTGACAACTGTGTACTGAAATAGGCAATTTGTTCGTGTAATATCACTGATTATACAAAGTGTTGTCTCTTGGAGTTTGTTGTAAACTATTTTATAAATTTTGTTCAAAATTATATTCAATATGGAGGCATAAATGTAGTTTACTGTGCAGAACTTACATAGTGCAAATTGGCTCCGGCTCCGCTCTCTTCATAGACTCTGTGTGTCTCCTCAATCCAGAGGGTTAGTTGTGTTAGGATTAGGGTACATTAACCCCAGCTCAATCCATGGATCCCCTTTATGATTATTAGGATAAGGTATCCCTTTCCCATCAAACTGCCATGGGTTGGGCACCTGTTTGCTAATGGAACACCCCTTTCCGATCCTTAGGGTTAGTTATAAGGTTGTATGATCCCCGGGGAGTTGAGATTGAAAATACGATGTGCCATTTGAGATCGACATCCAATGATCGAGCGAAAACCAAAGCGCCTTTGGAGTTGCTAACTCTTTTGATGAAGTAATCCAGTGTAATTTTAGGAAAACCCACATAATTTGTACCGGTTTTGCAGTAATATCTTTGAGTGCTGAATCAGATACAGACAAACTTTATGGATGTACAACATTGTTTTTCGGGAGATGCGACATTTCAATACAGATTCTTGTATACTTGCTTGACAACGATACAAAAATCTGTATCGAATCGTCGCATCTCCCGAATAAAGTTGTTCATCCATAAAGTTTGTCCTTGTCAGGTTTTGCAATGTTTAAGTGTTAGAATCGGTCCCATGTACCATGTGGTGGTGATGTGGATGAATGCTCATAATATCGATCACTAGATTGACATTTGTTTCACTTTGTTAACACGTTGACTGCCTATCACGAGTATACTCGTAGTATCAATTCTGGCCAAATTTGCCACTACAAGTTATCTCGTAGCTACATCAGTGGTATTTAAATAGGCACACAAACATACAAACGTCTCCTGACGTTCTTTGTTACCGCAAGAAGACGCTTGCTTCTTGTGCCTGTTTTGCCAACATGTGAAACTTGTTTAACATACCACTGATAAAGCTACGAGATAACTCGTAGTGGCAAATTCGGATAGAATTGATACGATGAGTATACTCGCGGTGGCAGTCAACGTGTTAAGGAGTCATCTTTCTTGTTTAAATGTTTTATGTTTTCTGTTTCTAAATTTGATTCATTGATTCACATCGGTGATGTTAATTCATCCTGGTTAAATTTTGTTTCATATCTCCTAGTGTGTATGTGTACAAAGGTGACTGGCTGAGTTTGTTCACCTGTCACGAATTACACAAAAGGCATGCGTTTGATTTCCAAGAGAGGTACAATATGTGAAGCACACTTCTGGATTCACCAGTCATGACATTGCTGAAACACAAATCATAAACGAATCATAAG